TGACAAGGTCAAAGGTTACTAATGGATATACGGATATTCTTAGTAACTGAAGCAGGAGTTCAAAGAGTTGTTTGATAGGCTTAATGTGATGTATTCCATGCTGAAGCTGTAAAACCGATGATTTCAAAAAGGATGATTCAGGGCCAGGTACTTTCTTGAAGTTTATAAATTACTTCTCTTAAAGAACTCTAAAGCAAAATAATTGAAAATATCAACCTGATCGAACATCGCCAATAATGTATTTCAGACACTTTTCCTGTATCAGTAAACAGCAATACAGAGCCAGGTGTGCTGTAATCCTTACCGACGCGGTTAATCCGTCTTTATTCTTTAATCCACTTTAATCTGAAATAGATATTAATAAATATCAAATTTTCTTCTGTTGTTCACGTTCCAGAAAATATAAATCCTGGCCTGAAATCTGACCTACGTTTGTGTTTTTAATATGAAGTCACTCTTGTTCTTATATTACCAAAGGTAAAAGATGAATGTTGTCTACATGAAGAATTGCAAATAGGTCAAATGGTTGCCAGGTGTGGTTGAATTGGATTCAACAGGAGGATTTTGGAGCTCTAGGATATCAAAGCTTCACTCAAGTAGGTCTGTGGACTGGTGTATTGTTACTTATGTTTACAAAACTATGACGATGATGAAATATATTGCTCTAAACGCACAACAACAGGATTCACATCGAAATGTTTTTGTTCCTCTTTTATTTTCCTCATTGAAAATATGATGGAGTACAGATTAGGGTGAGTGTGAGGGACAAGCTTGGTTCCGGGGCATTTAGGTTGGGCCCCGAAGGAAGCCATCGTTCCAAGGCTTCAATCCGCCCAAAAAAACATCAAGGTGAAGAAACTACTGAATAATTTTCCTAATAATGAAACCAATGAAGCATGTGATAAGTCGCGTGTTATACTTGCGGTCACGACATTTCGATATTCTTCAAAGAAACCGCAATTCCAGGTGTGACAATATCAAGTTTAAACTCGATACAAAATGTTATTTCATGAGAAAATGTTAACAGCAAGAAAGTATGAAAATTCTAAAAAATCTAAAGCTGCCCTAATTGATCCTTGACAACGTGGAACTTCTTTCTGGTGCATCATCACCAAATATGCATCACTTCTAGGATTCGGACATAACTGCCTGAAGGTCCAGTCATAGATAACCAATTGCCAACCATGTCATCATGTCACAAGGCATTCAGAATAAGATATGCACATTTTCCCCGTTGTCAAGGGAGAGAGTGGTAGAAAAACTGACTAAGATAACAAGATAATGTTGCGGTGTTTTATCAGTAAAAACAATTATAAGTATATTCTTATGTATCTACATGTGACTTCTATGATCAGATGGTTTTTAATACTCATCTTATAATTTATACAATCACTTTGAAGTGTCGATATAAAAGGCAGGTTAAGGGAGTACGAAGGTTTATTATAAAGATTTTATAATGTTTATATCTATCTGAAGATCAAATAATTTGTTTGGCATTACATTCTATAATTTACCCTTATTGTTCTATAAGTTATTAATGTAACACCTTGAACAAGTCAACGAGTTCAATGATATTTTAAAAATATTCAAAAACACGGATCACAAAGTCAGCTTGTATATTTGCTGTCCTGTGCCATTACTGTTCCACGACATAGTTATGTATCATATTGATAAAAATGTCGCAAGCATAGTAGGCATTGTAACATACAAATACACCAAAATTGTTGGTCAGGGGGTTCCGGAAGTGGTACCTGATGGCTTTTCGTGTGTGGACATAATCAAATAATTGGTAAAAATTATATTAGGAATATATATCGTCTTAAGAGTAAAATGATCAATCCATGATTAAAAATTCTAAAATGATTGAAATTTTATGGGGAGTTTCGGTTGGAAAAAACATCTAAGCTCGCGAAATTTGGTCACGTTAGGTTAAAAAGATTTGTCCAAGTGACTCCAAGGATCATATTTGGATTACAAACGATTATGATTAGATTTGTGAACGTGAACTGAGATACGGAAGCCCAAAGAGCGTCAGCAGACTGTCACCAGATAATTTTGTGGACTTGTGATAAGATAAGCAACAGACAATCTGGTCGGATATTACGAGTAACGTGTTCCATTGACCCTTCATTGGCCCCTTTTATAAGGTAATATGAAATAATTCATTTTAGCAAGTGAATCATCCTTATCAGTTTTTTGACAGCAATACGCCCGAGAAGAGGCACTTAAAAAACTAAACCCATGGTTTGCTTTCTCATATGGAAATTGTCCAACAGAAGCATTTAAGAAATCTTTCGAAGAAGTCTGCAAATCGTCTGAGCTCAATAATGATTCTCGGATATTTCCGAAGTTCAACTCTTCAACCCAATGTCGAAACACGGATAGGCTATACGATTAAATTTAATATTTAACACATTACTTCTGGATTAAAATTGGATTTAAATTGAGATGAAACAAGAATTAAAGTATTGTCCAACACTGTCGGGGTGAAAGGTGAACTGACAGTGTCACGAGGTCATGTAGATTAACAGGATTAGGAACAAAGCATGTTATAGTTTACATGTATTCATACAGATGACATATTAATTGATATTATTCTTCAATTTAATGCAGCAGGTTTAGTGATAGCTGTTATTTCTAGTTGACAATGTACCCAAGGAACCTGGTAGTTTAATTATTGGACACTCATTAGCTGGTGTTAAATCGTCACCAGAGTGTCGACTACAAATTAATTTTGACGACAGAAATCAGCAGGGTCCCAACGGATGTCTACAGACTGTTACAGTAGAAATAACTTAATAATTATACTATATGCCATCTCGTAAATTTTACTTCTATAGAGAGTTTAAAGTAAATTTGATTAATAACAGATTCCTCAATGTAACAGATTTACAATGTTACATTCCACTATGCTTTGTTCTTTTTTTTTTGATCAGCCTTCCATTGCTGGGCAATTTCCATAAAGCCTCTTACTCAGATAAAAAAAAAGATGCACCCAAGTCCTGCTAATGGAATGACTGTCGTTTTTATACAAAGCTGGGGTGATCCACAGATTCAGATTTACTGATTATAGCTATTCCAAGTAAAATTGTTTGCTATTTACTTCCTTCCGACCTTACTTTTATCTTTTCAAATGTAAAAACCATGGAATATCACGTACAATTGGTCTTGATGATGCCATTAAAACCAATAATAACTTGTATGTCGCTATTTAGTGACTACGAAAAAAAATGAACCAAAATTATATTTTCTATCACTTGGTTAGCAATGCCAACCATCTGTCAGGTACAGCAGGGAATCAGACTATATTTAAAGAGGTAATGTATTATATATAAGTGGTATGATATAATGAGTACAACAGGTATACAACAAGTTAATTAACCTCTAGTTAAATACATCATTAACTAATTATTCTATACTATTATCAGCTGTTTTATACATAAACTACCAAACTTTCATTTTTACACGAGAAAACTGTTGTATTATTTACCAACTAGTTTGTTGGTACTTCGTGTAATCGTTTTAAAACCAACATGTTGATCCACATTCTCGCTAAAAGTGGTATGGTGATGGTAAGGTTCGACTGTCAATTCAAAGCATTTCATCGCATGAGCATTGGCTAAACCAGTGGTTTCACCTTCCAATTTGTTCCATCCACATTTCCAGCGTGTGATGATATGATATGCTCTCTCAATTCAAAATAAATTCTTCTCCTACACCAGTTAGCCACACCCCTGACACCCTAGTTCTACACCCCAGGTTGGGAACCGGGAGGCTAAACGTTCATAATATGAAAAAATTGATTGTCTGCTAATACAAATTTTGTTAGAAAGTAGCATGAATGTCTGTCAATGGGAGACAGGTCAGATTCTTCCAGATGCTGTCAATTGCTACACAAGGCTGACCCGAGCCCCTTTAGTCCTGAAAATAAAGGCATGTAATTTCAGACAGCATTGACAGTTTTTAAATATCGGTGTAATATCAATATCAATTTGCTGGACAATAACTATAAAAGACAAAATCCTTTAATTGAAATTTGATCTGAAAGTTTCAATAAATCGTGCAGATATTGTTGTGGATCATTAGGTGATATTAGCTAGTGTAAATATTAAAGATTATATTATTAGCCTCTATAATCTTCAAAACAAACATAACTCACAAAAATACTTTTTTCATTCGTCTAAAAAGAAGAGCAAATTAATTCTTTGGTCTCAGATTTCCTATTATTCAGTAGTCTAATCGAACCCAATCCTTTGACGTTTCTTTCTCGTCATTTTTTTCATTTCTTCAATATTTTCATAAATCAACATCTGTTCAAATATAAAGTTTTTTCTGGGAACTTTAGGCACGTGTTATATATCAGATCGAACAATCAAATAACTGATTTGGCTGATTTGGACTAACAGATTTGTTTGTTGTTATTTAAAGATGAGAGAAAGCCGACCAAAAAAAGGACGATTGAGATTCAATGGACGCGTAGAGTATGCAATCTTGGATTGCAATATTTGCAATTAACATGGATGCATAAGTGTATGTTTTTGTGATTCCAGAAGAAAAAGTATTATATGATCATATATATACATAAGTTGATTGTGGTGTCTATGAACCGAGCTTTCGTTGTTGACAATTAATCTCTCTTGATAAAGATAAAAACTCATCATGAGGATAAGGTGAACTATGACGATGAATTGTGTCTGAGATTATTATGATATTGCATAAGGTTATCCATTTTATTTCTCGTTTACTGTCATATATGATAACAAATTGTTAGCTCGTGCCATTCTGTCTTATGGCCATTCAAGTGTGAGAACGGCCGATGTGACGTAGGGACATCCATACATCCATTAGGCAAGCTGTGAATAGCAGACGACACATTGCTCGTGCTGTGTTAGATTAATAGCTAGACTATGTTCGATATTGTTAAAGGTATAACAGTGGTATTTTAGAATACAGTTATGCACTGAGTTCTTTAATGTTTTTAAACAATATTTGTAAATAAAATGGGTTTTGATTCGGAGAAATTTATTTTAAATATATCCGAGGACAAGAAATGTGCACTGTGTGCTTGTGTATTGGATAATCCAGTGAAAACACCTTGTGATCACATATTTTGTTCAGGATGTATTTTACCATGGGTTGTGCGACGCGGAAAGTGTCCGAAAGACTGTCAGGTTTTAACACCTCATGATTTGGATAACTTACTGCCTCTCAGGCAAACCATATTGGATATGGTAGTCAAATGCGACTTCGTAGAAAGAGGATGTGGGGTGACTTTCAGACTGATGGATTTAGTTTCTCACACCCAAGACTGTGCTTTCAGACCTGTTACATGCGAAAACTATGGGTGTGGGGCAACTCTTAATGCTGGTGATTTAGTCCATCATGAAGCGGACGAGTGCATGTTCCGACCAGTTGGGATCTGTCAGAAGGGTTGTGGTCAGGTGCTTCTCCAAAATAACCAAGATAACCATGACTGTTTGGAAGCCCTTAAATTGCACATTAACCAACAGGAGTTAAGGATAGGAACTCTGTCAGAGGATCTTAAACGACAGAATTTCAAGCATGAAAAGAGAGAAAAGGGTCTGTTGGGTAAAGTTACCGATCTACATAATGATTTAAAGAATCAAGCTATGAAATTTGAAAACAAACTATCGGAATGTAAACAGCATTTAACTCGTCTAAGCATGGTAAGTAGCAAGAAAGATGAAACAGTCTCTTCATTACCTTTTCTATTCAGTGGTGTCATTTCATGGTTTATTAAGAGGTGATATATCGCCGAGACGACCCCTTTTTCCGAACCTTTAATTCTATTTAGATATAGTTTATATTGACGGCGGTCTGTTCTCATCAAACTGATATATAGACTAGTTTATTTCAACTTGGTTGAACAGAATTGACGTTAATGATGGTGTACAGGTAACAATGTGTTAAGGGTTGCAATGGTGAACAATGAGGTTTATCCACAGTCCACTCCGATTGCCATGATAAATGGCAACTGCTAAATTGCATAATTACAGACTGTAACTGTTCCCAGATATTTATAGCCTCCATTGACGTAAGAATTATCAATGTCTGAAAGGTTTTCGAGAGTGGTTTTTAGCTTACGTGTGTGTACAGCATTTGCTCAGAGGTTCCTGTAATTAGAATTTGAACATATTTTATGTTCCTGAAATAACGTTATGATTTTCGGTTGTTTTCATTCTCTCAGAGTTAAAATGTTGTATATTTATTACCAAACAATTACTTTCTGAAACTTGTTATTAATATTAAGCTTAATGATGAAAATACCAAAGATACCCAAAAACTATTATTTGAAGTCTTAACTGGAGAAAATGGTCCGAGAATCCCGGGTCTTTTCATGTTAAGTTTTTCTTTTTGTTAAGGACAATGATATTTTCACCAAAAAATAGTTTCATAACAATTGTTCATAGCTTTTTGTAGTTAATGAGCAATCGTCAGTGAGCACTTTTGTAAAGGAAAATAACTCACCCCTTGTTAATTAGGTAATTAAAACTCATTTGTTTCTTAAGTAACAAAAATTATTTAGTCCAGTTCATTGAGTGAAAGCTGGTTAGGCAAGGGTGATCAGTTATAAATGCTCTAGTCGACAAGATTTCAAGAGAAGGTGTGAGGTACCATTTACAGTATGCAGACATCAGGACAGAGATATCTTTATCTGTAAGTAGCAGAAAATGATGTCCATTTTCCTGTTTCCCACGATCGTTTTTTAGTCAGCACATATTTAAAAGTATTCCTTTTTTATTAGAATTAGGTGACAGTTTCTCTGAAGCAGCAGTGATTGATTTTTGGTTTGTATTTTTATCTCGAAGTTTCTCATAATGTTTGATATAAGACTTTCAGAATTTTATTAAATGTAATAATATTCACCTTGAGAATTTCTATGACCTTGAAACGCCATTTTAACTATAACAGCCAACAATAGAACCATTTCGTTTTTGTCTTGGTTTTGGTATGTTCAAATATGCCAAGTTTGGTTAATTGATACAGGGGTTTTTGAAAGATCCCTGGGCATTTTCTCAGGAAAATAACAGATTTTAGAGTGATATGTTCATCTTCTTGAAAGTACATATGTGGTAGGAAAAACAAATTGAAAGAATGTAGCGTGGATACTATTTTTATAAACTGATGGTATGATGATGATAATTTGTCAAAGTTGATTGATTATTTTGCCTCTCCAGGGCCTCATGTACCTGGAATTTATAATAACTTTAATTACATATGTATGAATGTTGTTATTTGGAGGATGGTGTGACATGGGGTCATGTAGAGGTATAAACAGGTTGACATGTGTCCTAAGACAACCTGTGCTATTAACAGTGTCATGAACTGTGTCATGTCCAGGCTGAGGGCACATTGCACCCATTCCTTATATCAGTTTCAAAGTGCAAAGTAGAAATTACAGGTCAATTGGAAGCAAATCTAAAGAAAACATTTGGCTTGGGTTTTGGTTTGAATTTCTAATCTAAGTAATGATTACATAGTTTCTAGTAGAAATTTTACAGCAATTCATTATATGAAGATCTGATTCTACTCAATTTTGTTCCTTTGGTTATTCTAAAAGAAAGAAAGAAACAACTATATTTTACAACAATAACATCTTAGGTTTACAGTTAAGGATCCTTTCTGCAAGTTGGTCCTTTGCAAAACCTCTTGGCATTGATCTTTCCTGGGTTATCTGTACCAATATACAGCTAGGTCAATGTTAAATGTGGACATATATTGCTGCCACCTCTGTCTGTTGTTCCATCAACATTTCTTGTGAACACAATAGAGACTACAGTTTTTATCTGATTTTAATGAAACTTGATGTGATAATGTATATTGATAAGATCTTGGTCAAGTTTGAATTTGACGATCTTTCAATGGACGCTTTTTGAGTTATTGCCCTTGACTTAGGAAAAATGTGTCAAAATTTGTTTGTGAACGCAATAGAGACTACAGTTCTCAACAGATTTTAATGAAATTTGATGTGATGATATTGATGGGATCTTGGTCAAGTTTGAATTTGACTATATTTCAATGAATGGTTTTTGAGTTATTGCCCTTGACTAAGGAAAAACGCGTCAAATTTTGTTTTTGAACACAATAGAGACTACAGTTTTAAACTGATTTGAATGAAATTTGGGGGTGATCATTTATATTGATGAGATCCTGGTCAAGTTCGAATATGATGATCTTTCGATGAATTGTTTTTGAGTTATTGCCCTTGACTTAGGAAATACACATCAAAATTTGTTCATGAGCACAAGAGAGACTACAGATTTCATGTGATTTTTATGATGAATGAAATCAATGGAGTTTTACATCTTTTATTTATATTGATGAGATCTTGGTCAAGATTGAATTTTCAACGATTTAAAAAACTTTTGCCTTTGATATTAGAGTTGTGTGATGTAATAATTTGATGAATTTGGGATATTGATATTGATATTGAATTTTGTGGAATTACTCAGCCTAAATAACTGGCAGTAAATATATATATCCATTGAATTCAAACTATTAAAATTTCTATAATATGAGAAAATTCGTACTTTTGTCACTAAAGACACTGACAGCTGCCAGTAGGGGTATGTTACCTTGCCTTGCGAGCTATCTTTCATGGTAGCAGATGGGATGCATAAAACATACAAAATACTTAAAAATATAATGGTGATTTGCTATTGAAAAAGAAAATAACTGGTGATGCTGGTACCACAATTAATGAGACTTTTTGAATGTGACAAAGTTTACAGAGGAGCTATATTATAAAGGTCATCTCAGGACAACATGTGCAATGGTTTTCATTGCATTGTTGGTGGGTGGAGATTCCATCAGGTTTTTCATTGGTTAATGAATTAAACTGAAATTGATTGATATGCCGTTTTAACTGCATAAAAAGTTGATCAACAGAATTCAAATCTTGAAACCAATTGCTTCACTGTGTTTGGGAATAGAATACTAAGTCAGATATTCACTATGATGTAGAGAGATATACAAAATTAAAATGACAAAATCAGCTTTTGATATTTTGATTGATGACAAAAAGATTTCAGAAACTAATATCATTAAAAAAAAACAAATTATACTGACACTAGCTTCAATAGATTGGTCAAAAAAATAATAAAATCAATATCATACTGTTCCTTACAGAAGGGAGCTGTCCTTTATAACATTGTTCATAGACACTATTTTGTAATGTGGAAAGTGTGAACACAACCTGTCATATGTACATCACCAACCGCAGATCTAAGAATCTTTTCTGAAACAAAATATTATTAATTTCCAACATAACACCACTGATTTTTGTACTCAAGAGACTGCTTTACTGGACCAGTATAGTCCTCTATGGTTTTCTCAGTTTGCAATCCAGATTTAGATATCTTTGCACTCTGTGATTCAAACAGAGTCTTTTTAGTTGGTCACTAATAAACTAGATTTTGAAATTTATATACACTTATATATGCTAGGTAGGAATGAGGTTAGCTTGGGAGAAAAATGTCAAAATAAAAGATCCATATTGCAGATGTTGGGTATGAATGTGTTCTAAATTAGAAACTGTTATACTAATAAGAGATAAAATTAAGATGATATTAATCATAATCTAATGACAATGTATTATTATATATTGTTAAGAATTATTTAACGATAGATTTAGTAAGATATCTCAGATATTCAATGTATTAGGTCATAGAGAACAATGATAGTGTATGACCATCTACTTCACCAACTACTTGAGAAAATGACAAAATGATCTGATAGCTATCATACAGATTGATTGATGTTCGCTATTGTTATATAGTTATTGTATTATTTATTGTGTATGTCTTATTGCAATGTTTGAGATTTGGTCAAGCTCAAACCAACCTTTACTGATGTTCCACACAGATAGATCTGGACTGCAAAAAATTTGAAAATGATCTATAATGTATATTAATGAGGTTTGCCTGCTGGGAATATTTAGAAACTAAGTGAATTAAAAATTAGAAAGCAATTCTCAATACAGCAAACAGTCCTTTGGATGTCATTGTTCAAAAACGTGGCTTAATTTGGTACATTTACCAAAATTTAATTTGCAATACTAATTGAACTACCATGGGCCAAAAACACATTTATTTTACCATTTTCACAGTAAATTGGCCAAGGGACGTAATCCCTATCATTTGTTTAAGTCTGTCTGTATGTTAAAAACACATTTATTTTAGATTTTATTTAATTAGGTGGCAATTATTAGTAGTTTAATATCATTAATTATTTCTCTTACTAATGCCTGCGTACAACAAAGGATTAACTGATCACTCACACTGTCTTATTAATTCTACATCTTAACACTTTGTACAGAATAATTCATTTTAATCTGCTCCAATTGAAGAAAGTGAAAGTGAAATCTTAAAAGGGAATATTTGAACGTGTCGTCTGATTAGGGACTATTTACAGTAGAGATTAGTCTGTGAGGAGTAACAAAGGTTTAATGATAATATCACTACACTATGATAGTACCATTCTCCTAAACTAAACATCCTTTCAACCATGTCGATACATTGTTCCATGTTAAAGAACATTATGCTCGTATTACTATTTCTCTATCGTGGGGACTGAGTAATTCTTTTATTCTAGACTGAATGAGGTGACAAGTCTAAAAGATAAAATAAGATGGTGATTGGTTAGGAATAAAGACTACACACTACTGTAGAGATAACGGTACTAAAAGAGCAAGAGACTGAACCCATTTAAAGTGATTGATCGAAAACATGCTAGTTGATTTGTCCCCCTTTGTCATCTCAATTTGACTAGCTCCATGACTTTGACAATAAATATGAATATTAATGAGATATTTTATGCAGATTAGCTGAGCGATGTGAAGATTGACATCCATCTGTTTAATGTTTTTAACTCTGCTATGTTTTGTTATTTTAGCCTCAGCTTCAGACGTGGGATATTGAGAGTGTTGATATCAAGGTTATTATGTTGGAGCGAGATAAAAAAGGATCACTTGGTTTTAATATAATGGGTGGTTTTACGGTAAGCATTTTATTTTAATCAAATATTATTTTATACCATTTTTTTATTATTTATTATTTGCCATTGAAAATCAATTTAAAATATTTGCATCACTTCATATGATAAAGAGCTATCTCACGTTTCTAAAGAACGTTAAGTTAAGAATGGTATCAGATGCAATTGAAAGGTGACTTTGACTCCAGAATGATGTTAAATTTTTGCTGAGTTGGTCTGCTTCTCAGTAATAGGTAAATGTGTCTTTACTTCAGGGCATGCATACCATATTGAAATTCCTTAAAACTATGCTTTGATTATACTTGTAAGTAAAGCTGCATAAGTGCTTATGTATGAATCTGTTTGACCATTTGAATTCTACATGATCAACTCTGATGACTGTAATATAACTACCTTATTGATATATACCAAAACTATTCTGGATTGAAGATGTTGATATCGGCTTATATCTACAATCAGTACTAACCAAGCAAAACAACATGAAAACACATTTTAATAAGACTCCAAAGTTGCACATTTGAAGTCTTCTGTAAGCACAAATTAGTTTAGTCTTTTGTTGATAAATAAATAGATAAATAACTGTATTGCCAGTGGAGTTTTATTGTAATACTGGGATTGAGTTATAGAAGAGATTTTCTATTGAATGTATACAGAATATAATTGTAATAGTTATAACTTATTGGTGCAATATAAGCTATTGATTTTCATCTTTTTTCTAATCCCTCTAGATATTTTAATATCAACTTTACTTTTTTACCAGTTCTCATACCTTCTTTTATCATTTATTGATTCTTTTACATATTATTCTGTTAGTATGGTGCACATTCTTTTTTTTTTGCATGTCATCAACATTTCATCACAATTGTTTTTTTTGTATGGTTTGTCCATTAAAACATGAATAAATAAAATACAATGTATATATACTTACAATGGTTGTGAAGATTCTTTGTTTCATTCAAGAGGATAAACTGTAGAAATTGTCATACAAAATTTTAATTTTGCTGACAAGGTTTACAGCTAATGAATTGACTTTCTAAAGTTTTTTACTTTTGATTTTATATGAAGTTATATTTTGAAGTTGATGTTAGATTTGCAATCAGGCAGTCTTGGTTGTGCATCAGTGGAGTGGTTGGCTTTTCAAAAGATGAACTCGGAGAGCTAAGACAAAGTTAAGGGTTTAAGAACTCTTTTTACACAAGACATGGGGCAAGAAACAGACTGTACTGTCTTACCACATGTTTCCTCTGAGTTAAATCCAGGGAAGAATATTAAGATGCAGAACTCTTTGAGCACTTGCTATTCAGCATTCATCTGTTTTTTTGTTTGACAAATTCTTGGCTCTATAAATATATAAATAATGAATATCCTGAATAGATTTTTCTTGTTGGAGTTGTTGATACTCGCCTAAAAATGGTATATAACACCATAGGACTCTCAGTTCTGTTGTGTTCAAGAATACTGTAAAATTGAGTGACATTTGACAAGACAGTTCAGTATTGAAATCACGACAAGACTTTTGGCCTGAGATTAATTAAAAAATAAATCTTTGAACTTGGTACACATGCATTCTTTTTGATCATGACAGCAAATAATCCCCCATTAGACCAATTATGATTTATTTTTCCCTTATGACTAATTACATGTTATACCATAAAAATACCTAATTGTTTTTAAACTCACAGCAAGAAAATTAAAATGGCAACGCTTCAATAGACAGGGATGAGTTTTGGTGATGGTTTTTTTGAAAATGAAGATTGATAACGTCAAGTATGATGTGTGAACACGATCCCCTGGTGAGCAAGCAGAAGTGTTAATCATGTGGTATTGGAGAAAAGTAGTAGCTGGTCTCAAAACATCAAAGGGACTCTATAGTTTGTCAAAGTGGGACTATGAATATCTCAATCTTGCCTGGACTAATATTTGGTTTAATTTGACTAGGCAGACTGAGTGGAGACCAGCTTTATTTTACCATTCTATCACTTCTTTTCATTTCACCAAATCTTTAACATTTTCTTGTTAAATATATCAATGTTTTTATTTGTAGTCATAATAAATTATCCTCGCATTTCATATTTTGAATCATAGGCAAAAATATAAATAGAAAATGTGATCATATATTCTAATAATTTAATTAAATAATGGTGTATTTCAAACTCCCTATATATCATGAGAAAGTATGCTGTATAATATTGTCATGTACTTCATGCCTCTAAAGCATTAGATGTAATTAATATTGTCTAATGATAGTTAGAGCTAAATATAAAATGAAAACCTATTACTGTCATTTACAGATTGAATTATGTTTTTTAATAAATGTATTTTACATGTTAATTGAAAAAATTTAATAAAACAGATGACATGAGTGGAATATAGCACTCTCTTGTCACGTAAACTCTCTGATAATTTTAATTTTCTAAATTTTCCTTGTAATGAAATTGGGTACTAGAGTAGTTAGTTGTCTCTATTTGAATTTTGAATTGATTTAAACTATGGGCTTTCAAATAAAGACAAAGAAGCATGCAAAATTTCTTCTTTATCAATGATGTCTTAAATAATGTCATAATGAAAAGATCAAAGGAAAAAATTTAAATTTAACTCACTAACGAAGAACATGATGAGTAATCTTCGCGGCAACATGAACATAATTATGTCATAAATATTGCTCAAAACTGCTACAATGCATCGTTTTGTGATTTTTTTAAAAGCAGAAAATGTTAATAACAAAGTCATTTTGTCATTGTGTCGTACTGATGTGATGAAATATGTTGTTGAATCTGTCACTTACAGACACATATTGTTTGATCCTAGAGATACCAGGTCATCAAATTATTAGAAAAAAACCTTGCGCACGTTAGACATTACTGTTAATCTTTGAAGAATTATTGTCGATTGAGTTGACAATTTGAGTGGAGAATGAAACCATAAAAAACCTACATTGCCTGTCAAGTTAAAGAAGTTTGTGGAAGCAGGTTGACGATATAGAGATATTGAATGTCTGTGATGGAGATTAGGTTAGATTAAACCAGGCTAGAGGAGACTAAGAACAGATTATCTTGAGATTAACGAAACTTGACTTTTCAGGTAAATTCATTCAGAACTTATTCTTGAAAATGTTAAATTTTATAATATCTACCTCAGTTCATCTTACTTATGAACTTTTCATATTGTTTTAATGATGTAGGCTACCTTAAATGGATATTTTTATTTTATTGTTACAGTTGACATAAACAGTAGACATATAGTAAGTTTATATTCAAAATAGGAAAGTATTTATTTTCTAATGAGGATATTGGAAAGGAAATGAAAGAAAACTTGCAAGGACAGTTGAATATCCTTCTAATTTTCAATTTATAACAGTCAAGTGAAGTTCAGGGTCTTAGATTAATGTGCAGCTGGGCAACTAGACACTTTGTGCATTTCAGTTCTCTCTATCTTATAAATTCTTAATATACTTTCTATACTGGATCTTTTGGAGTTTGGCCAGTAAGCAACTCATGGAGATTGAGTACACTCTAATATATTCTAACTTGAGAATTCAGATCTTTGGAGTATTGATAATATGTATATATTTGTCTATGAACACTACTAAGAAATGAAAATAACAAGCTTTTAAGCTATTGACCATTGTCTTTCATCAAACTCCCTGTTTATCCATTTATTCAATCTTATCCACTACAGCTTTATTTAGGGCTCATCTGGGAGAAAGTTTGATGCCACAAATGAGAAAAAGACAAGTTGAATGATTAGCGTTTAAGTGTCTGCTCTTCCTTACAGTGATTCTTGTGTATTTTAATTGTTATAGTTGACAGGGAGAAGTGATAGACATTGTTATTTCAACTGTTGACTTGATTCTGAGGATCTGTATAACAATATAACTATCACCCTGTTTAAATCATAGTATTGTATCCCGGATCATACTGCATCTCACATGTCACTGAGTTTAAATTTTCAAATTAAGAATCTTTTGTTTCAAGTAAATTGAAATATTTTTACAATCTGGGACAAAGTCTTTAATTTTGTTATTGTTTTGTTTTGAAATTCAGGTTCATTTGAATTCTATTCTTTATTTTGAAATGATGACATCACATCTCAGATCTGTCAATTGGTAGGCTATAGTTGATCCTTGAATCATCATTTCCATGGTGTTCAATCAAGGACTTAAACCATGGTGATTTTTTGGTGGCATATTCTGTGTTTCACTTTGTAATAGTATGATTTTTATTGACTTTCATTTTCTTTGTGAATCAACATTGATCATTGTATTAGGTGATTGGCTCTTTCCTAATGGCTTGAAACAGTAAACCATATATACTTAATTACTATTTTAAAATCTAAGAGATTCAAGAAAGACAACAGACATGGTCTTTAAATTCTAAAGTATCTAAATATTACCAAGTTAGCTTAGACAAGACTTGTACAGGAATGTGAGACAGGAGACTGAATAAATAGAAAATACATAAAATAAGCTAATAAACCTAACAATAACAATCTTCTATCAAAGACTAGACTGATCCTAACACAATGTTTCGTTTCAAAATATAGTCATAATTAGCCAATTGACTTCACCACTAGAGACTAAATAAATACTCATACACTTTATATATGATGATATAAAGTCACAACCTTGTTGGGGGCAGTTTGATTAAAGGCCACGTATATTACTTCAAACCCTGCTTAAAAAAGACTCTAAATCAACTGAAGAATACAAGAGGTGAAACTTGGTAGGGGGCGACTTTTTCAATGCCTATTGAAACAGAATACATGTTAACTTCATAATTACCATATATTTACCGAGCTTAAAGATCTAGAAGTCAATTTGGTTTACTTTGGTTTCTGGAATTTTTTTTTTAAAAAGTAAGACAACTCTTGTAATAATACATGTTTTTATAATCCATGTAATCGACTTTATAAACTTCCTGTTGCAAAGAACATAATTTGGTATATCCACTCCAACTATTAATCAGCATCACCTGTTGTCAGTGATTTTGATCTATAGCAATATCGAAAATGTTTTTAGTGACCTTATAGGTGATGATTCAAGAGTGGTAGAGTACCAATATTATGTATCTTGTTTGAACTACTGCATTGGTAACACCAGGCAAGGTAATGATTGTAGCTTTTGGAGTCAGGCCTGTGACTAACTTAACTGAAGATGGCATTCAATTAATCTATTCAGTCCAATCTAGACCAATGATTTGATTTGTCTCAATTGGTTTGAAAGTTTTAGGTGAGATGAGGTAGACAATCCTCTTTAAATGCTGAATGTCTGTGTGTTAATGAATAGTTAATGGGGTAA